CCACATGTCTGACCTGTGCACATACACTGCTTTACACAGTGGCATTCCCACATGTCTGACCTGTGCACATACACTGCTTTACACAGGGGCATTCCCACACGTCTGACCTGTGCACATACACTGCTTTACACAGGGGCATTCCCACACGTCTGACCTGTGCACATACACTGCTTTACACAGGGGCATTCCCACACCTGAACTGTGCACATACACTGCTTTACACACTGGCATTCCCTCACCTGACCTGTGCATGAACACTGCTTTGCACAGCTGCATTCCCACACAGCTGACCTGTGCTTGTGCGCTGCTTTGAATGCCTTGTGTTTGCTGTTCATATTCCCAGCTAACTTTAAATACTTGCCACGTTTTGATTATATGATGCTAAAGAAATAGCAAAACTGACAAATTACCTGTGACTTCTGAGGTTTAAATAAGGTATTGTTGAGCTTTATGAGGGGTTATATAAAGAAATGGTTACTGATTTATTTCCACATATAAAGATAAGTACATATAAAGAAAGCGAAAGCAGACTGTGGCCTGGCTATTGGGTTTTTAGCTCCTTACCAGGGTACCTTACAGAGTCTTAGGGTGATCAGCTGTAAAGTGACACAGACACACTTTCTTGTCTCACTATTATAATTTATTCCCTAAAGCCGTTAACTCTTTGCCACAGTCCTGTTTTCCATTTCTGGATAGTAGTTTTGTAAATTTTGTATATTCTTTTTTTTTTCTTCCATAAACTGAAAATCATTGTAAATGAAAACATCCATCTTTTATCAGTTATCCAGTGCAAATATTCATCCTTCTTCTACCCTTTTAATACTGAAATGATAAAATCAAGACAGTTCCTTTTCAGTTTAGGAATGGAGATCCTAGAACGGTGACAAAAAGATATAATTCTGGTACAAATTTCCAGTGTTTCCAGGTAGTGGTTGAATATGTGATCACTTAAAATATTAATTAGATCTTCGGGATATTTTATCGTTCTTGGAGAAGGTTCTTCCTTTTTGCTTTTCATTTTCATTCATGTTTTACTCCTTGGAAATGGTTAGCCTCACGAGTTCTGAAAAATGCATTCACTGTTATGCTGTTCAATAAAAGAAATTATGTTCTTGGTAGGGTCTGCTTATACAATAATGTCCGTTATTTTGATTGCTTAGGTTCTGTTAGATTTAGTTCAGTTCAGAGCTCCAACAGTTTAATGTGTTTTAATGAAAATGAATTACACATTTTTATTTCAATAATAATAGATACCTTAGCAGAATAAAATAGAAAAATCAAGTCATTTTGTGACTTGCAACATTTGTTCCTGTCCCAAGTAGATTCCTGCTTATTTAAACGACCTACACTGCACATCCAACTCTTGTGACTGACTCTGCAGCAGTGTTAATTTCCATTGAGAGTATCAGTTTGGGTGTAGCAGGTCCACATTGCTATTCATTGGAGTTTCTTCTGAAAAGCACTGTATATTAGTATTTAGCACTGTATATTAGTAGTCAGGTTTAATTTGGGAAGAGGTCTTGTCAGCTATAATCCAAACGGCTGCAGCAGTCTGTTTAGTGCAGTAACAGTTACTCTACCCAAAGTAACTTCAGGTTTAAAAATGGTGATTTACCGGGGGCATGAAAGCAGGCGGCAGCCACCCTGGTATTGAGTTTACACTTTGG